TTTTAAGTTTGAAAAGTATGTCTACTTTGGGATGAAGGGCACACAGGAAAATCAGTTCTGCTACATCTCATACCGTGATGGCCTTCACTCTGATTTCTCCATGCCTCAACCCTCAACCTGCCACCGCCCACCCAACCCACCCCCACCACTCCACCCCGCTCCACCCAACCTACCCGCTCCCAGCAGCCTCCATTTTGATGTCACAGGGGACCGGCTGCACTTCACCACTCCCCCCTCCCTGCAGCAGCAGCACACACAGCAGCCAGCAGCAACCAAGCAAGCAGCAGACAGCAAGCACAGCTACACGCAAGGCACCCTGCCCCTCTCTCTCCTCCTGCCTCCCCCCCACGCCAGGCAGGCCCCAGCAGCCGCACACAGCAGCAGCAGCAAACAAGGACAGGCAGCAGCAGGCAGTCAGTAGAACAGAGAGCGCACAAGAGGGCCAGCACCGAGGGGAAGGTAGACTACAGCCCACCCAGCCCTCCTCCACCTCTTTTTCCTCTTCGTCTCTGCATCAGTACACAAGCAACAGCTGAGGAACTTTCACCCGCATCAACCACTCCATTTTCTTCACAGGCCTAGTTTCAATGCCCTCTCGTGATGTTTAACATGCTGGCCACGGTTTACTCACTGACTATGAACCAGAGTTCTCCTCTTGTGATTAATGAGTAAAGCGGTTTTTGCAATCAGGACTTCTGTTGTAAAGCTAGCATTAATCTCACGAGCCAAGTGAAAACTGCAAGTATCTTGGGAGTCTGGGAAAGATCGAGTGAGGATTGATGGTGCCCAGAAGTTGCAAGTCAGACCAATCAATCAGCAGACTATGAGGAATGGTTTACACGGTGAAAACCACAATCCTTGGGAACAGTTTGGCAGTGCAGATCATCTAAAGCAAGACTATGTACCTTCTAAGAAGTTGTTTTACAAATGAAAAGTTGAACTAATGAGCAATAAAGACACACTTCCTGGACTTGGGCTACCCCATGTTTTGGCATTCACCTTGATCCCATCGCCCATTTCTCACCTGAGATTGAGGTGAGAATTGAAGTAGCTTATTCAGTGGACAGTTTAGCTGAAACCTGACTAGGGCTGACCCTGAGTAGAATCGCATTTTGTCAGTCAAATCTTTGCTCCTTTTGTTTTTTTTAGCTGTGCCATTGTACACAGAGTGACTGCACTGCGGGCTGTAAGCTTCACAAACTGCGTCTCAAAATGCTCACAAACCACAGAACTGAGATGAAGTAGAAAGGAGTGATGGTTAATGCGGGGCAGCGGCTGCTCCAACGCTCTCTGCTCCAGCTAAACCAGAACCTTTTGAACCGGACGGTGGTACAACCTCCTCCACTGCTGCCTACTGTGACTGACAGCGCTGCAGCAGCCCGGCAGGAGAGACGCTCTGTGGTGCCCTGAAATTTTAGAACTAAACTATGAGCAGCACGCACACTTTTAATTTCTCCTACTGTATGAAGTCAAATTGTTTTTTTACATCGCAGATGACGAAGAAAAGCGCTGAAACGTGAGACTCGTGTAGACACGTAAGGAACTGCTGATATAGGAGTTTAGTGTGGCCCTGAACAAATAGTTCAAAAAATTTAGTACAGCCCTAAGCTTGACAATGGTCCCGGAAAAGCTGCCATAGTTTCCTGTTTGAAAACAGGAAGCAAAAGTCATTCATCTCAAACCTAACTCAAGAAAATATATTGAACCGTCGCCGACTGAACAGGAAAAAGTCAAATTTGTGTTTTTAAACATACATATTCTACTTCCAACAGTAATGGAGGCGGGAGTATTTATTACATGTGTTCAACACTGAAACGGCAAAATAAACAGAGCCTAAGATATAAAGCTGATTACCACTAATGTTCATTACTGACTGATGATCATTAAGACTGCACATTTAGAGAAGACACCACATGAGTGACCTTCCATTTTAAACGATTCACCAAAGTCATGGTACGGTGCTTTTCAGTAATGAGGTTCTGGTCCTCTAGCTTCCTTCATGCTGATTGTATTGATTCAGTCAGCTTATCGCAGCCAAGAAACTGAGTTATAATTTGAGAAATGTGCGGTAGAAGAAGGAAGAAAAAAAAAAACCCAGAGTGAACGCTTACTTCGCATGTCAATTTCCCCTTTTTTATGACAATTACAACTTGCCTGCCTGCTATATCTCAGCCTGCTGACATACAGCATTACTCTACACTCTAAATCACATAATTGCAGGGGAAAATGAAAGCATTAAATACACGACCATGCGTGTAAACTGCACATGTGAAATTCTCAAATTCAATCAATGGTATTAGCATGGGTTACCCAAAAGCTGTTAAATATATTCAGCAGTCAAAGGGTTTCCATTAATAATTTCAGTTCTCATTCCAGGAATTTGCCCATCATCTTGAGCCAATAAACTATTGATATAGATGTAGCTGATAAATATGCGTACTTTGAACTACTGTTAGCTCTTCAAACAGCTCTACCTTATTACCACATTGTGGGGCTGAAGGTTTTTTTTTTGTCAGATCTGACTGACATTTAAACATGATGAAATGACAAAAAATGATTTTGCACATTATACTGACACTAGTGAGCCGTGCGCAATGAACAAGCAATGCATTATAAATAGCTTCTGTGGATGTTGAGTGCAGATTCTTTTAATTTCAAGACAGATAAATTTTTTTTGTGTTCTGCTAAATAATTTTCCTTTTATTGAGAAGAAGCCAAATATGGGAGAGCAGGAAGGCCGTATAAAAGCAACACAGACTGAATATATTAAAAAAGGAACAGGAGGATGCAAAAAAAAAAAAACATTGATGCATTTGTCAATAATCTTCGGATTTGAAATTTAGATTTTTATAACATTCAACAGCAATTATGGAAATTTACTGTGAGAGCCTCATATAGAGTCACATCCCTTTGAGCAGTGTGCGAACTGTACCATGGCTTTCGGGAAGCTTACTTTCCCTACTGGGGGAGCGAGGTGGACTGTATTCTGACTCCAAAATAGAGAAATGAATAACGGCGATTCGACGCGCAGACCGACTGGGACCAGGAAAGTTTATTTTATGTATATTTTCTGATCTGAAGATAATTATACTGTGCTTGTTTAATCTTGTTTTATCTTTATTAAAGTGAATTAGTCATGAATCACCCTCATGCACAAATCATAAATTAATAGTTTACGTGTAATCCATGACGATGAAGATATAGAAAATTAGAAATGCATGGCAAAAGCAGCATATTGTCAATATTGTTCAGACCCCCCCCCCAAAAAAAAAAAAAAAAAAAAAGTAAACTCACATGAAACACATTCAACTTAATAAATCATGAGCTGCTGTTGGTGCCGGAAAACCTGGCTGGCTCATTTTTGCCATCGTAAGGAAATTGTGTGCATTAACATTCAAATAATTTGTCGCATATGCAAATCATCTCAGTCAATGCATTCCACTCATGGGGGTGTGATGTATTAGTTATTAGTAGTAGTGCCATCTATTAAGTCGCTTAGCCTTGAGCCATCATACAAAAATCAGCGTCAGGTGGGACAACAGCTGGCTCGCTGCAACGAGACTGAAAGCTGAAGTTAATCGTGCTTTTGCATCCGGGGCCGACGGCTTTGTGAGGAAAGCTGTGTAGGCTCTCAATAAAAACTGTATGTAACAAACAGGATAACATCACTTTTGTTTCTTGTTGAATGGAAGACTCTCTCTGGTGGTTTAAACAATAATAAAAAGGGACATCATTTTCCCCTCTCTTTACAAGTTTTGCTTAACGTTTGGGGGTGTGTATTTTTATTTCTAAACCCCTTCTTCCAGCTTTTTGTGGCATGCTGTTACCTAAACAGACTGACACCCACAGGACAAATGCACACGAAAAAAAAAGGCACATGAACTGCAAACACTATACTGAACGAAACCTGCGACCAACTCAAACGTGTGTGTGCAGAATAGAACAGAGGTAACAGTCAGGATGGATGGTTAGTGACCCGTTTACCTGCCAGGGCAGAGCTTACACTGGTGGATCCGTTCAGCTGCACAGAGATGGAAGGAACACTGCAGGACAGGAAACAAGGACAGTGACATTCAGTCAGTAAAAACAGCAACAATGAACCAAGCAGGAAGAACAAAACAGACTTTGAATGATTTCGGTTTCTGATTCCACTCCACAGAATTAAAACGCTCAGGTACGGTGTCATTACGGATAGTTCTGGCACCAGAACAAGACAAGAAAATAAAACTGGCCTGCGAATTAACTGCAAAGATTTATTTACTTTTACTTTAATAGCTTTATTAGCAACACCTTACAATCGATTGTTCATAAAGCGACTACAGCGCGTGACTCAACACCCAATATATTGATGTGTGCGAAGCAGCAATCTGGGAAAAGAAAGGAATAATAGTCAGTACTGAAGTTATGATGTTGCTCTAAACCAAATCCAGTTTAGGGCTGAATTACAATTACTTCCTTTACCTGTTAATTACTTTTTTGTAATTTGTAATGCAGTTCTATAAAATGGCAGAAAACTGAGAAATTCAGATTTTTCAAAGTTCTTTAAATTGCTTGTTTCGTATGAGAAGAGAGTCCAAAATGTAAAAATATGAAGAAGACTAAAGTCTAGAAGATGGAAGCAGCTAATTTTTGGCACGATTTCTTAACAAATAACTTAAATGGAAACTTTCTTCAACCCTATTTTCCCACCTTTGTGTGTCCAAGTGACTAATGGAGACAACCAGTTCCATTTTGCACAAGAGTGCTGCAGCCAGCAGCCGCAAAACAGACGACAACGTAATCCTTGTAATCCTCAATGTACATCCACTGATAGAGCTTGTTTTTAACATGTTAGTTCAGATCCAACACCAAAGTCACACAATAACACAAAACAAACTAACCGACCGAGGCAGAGGTAGAGCAACTCCCGTGTTCTGTTAGGTAAAATAACTGCTTTTGTCAATGGAGCGTGGTAGCTTTGGACAGAGCGACAGAACGGCTGTTTCTGATTAAACAAAAAGGATCTTAATCTTTACCAAAAACGTCTATCTCTGTACGGTCATTTTCATAATGTTGTCACACTTATAATTACATTTTGAGCATATCAGTGGCACAAACAAGAACTTGTACATCAGATTACCAGCGTTGCCCCATAAGTCACAGACATAAAAAGTCCAGGTTGTTTCTTCAACTAATCAAATCCTCGATCAAGTGTTTCGGCACTAATCCTGTTTATCTCCATTTTTGTAGTCAGGGGAGCGTCTGCTCTAATCACCAAGACAAGCGTATAACAACGTAAAGTGCTTGAAATAAATATGTCAGACGTGAAATAACGTTCAAAAAACATTAAAAAAATCAGTGTGTGGAAGTTTGACCCTTATATACTGCTCGTCATCCAAATAAGAGCACATGGTAGAACAATAGGAGGAAATGGGTCGCTGACATAATGATGCCCTTTTGACATCAGCTAGGAAGCTGTGGGGTGAAGTCTGGAATCAAAAGACCCCATGAAGGGATTCCACAGTAACACATAAATAACCTGTACAGAGTGAGCGGTGGTAAACAGTGGCAAGTGACCACTATTAAAAATCACATAGCCTCTCTCATTCTCTTGCTCTCTCTATTAGAAAATGAAGAAGATGAGTTCATAACACAGACCACAGTGTGTGCTACAGAGGGTGGAAAACATCCAGCATTTGCCTATCCTATTATTCATTTCCAGTGGCTGGGAATACACTAAATGAAACTTAATGTGGAAGAAAATGAGCGCCTTGAGGAAGTGTAAGTGAACTGCATATTCATTATACGAACCTGAGCCCTTCATTTTTTTGAAAGCGGCTTTCTATGCCGTTAGGAACACAAGAGAATGAGGGCTGGAGATGACACAGACAAGAGGACACAGGAACTGAGCCAGAACAAACATGCCACTGCAGGGCTGGAGCTACACACCATTTTTTTTTGTCATTCCTGTGTTACAGAAAAGGTCAAAGTGGAGACAAACAGAAAAGACAAAAGAGAAACGGAGGGGGAGGGCGGAGAGGGGCCCCGTGCCGCGCATCCCAGGACGACGAACCGAGCCAGAGGGACACCTTGCTGCTGCTGCTGTTGCACTCCAACCTGTCGATATGAAACTGCAAACCAAATCACAATCCAACACACACATATCAGACACCAACCTTAACCCGTTGGCACTGGTGGAGCTGCTCAGAAGCGGCGGGTGACTACCAGAGGGCGTTGGAGGCCAGGGGCTGCCCCAGGACATCCCCCCGACAGAGAGGGGTCTCCTAGGGTACGGCGAATAGACAGAAGTGGGGTGAGCTGCTACAGCCCTTCCCGGCCCTTGGAGGCTGGGCCGATTCAGACTGCCCGATGAAAAGGAATGGCGTGAACGGCTGGGCATGGGTCCTGTGCTGCTGTGGCTCAAACACTGCTGGCAGGAGCAGGCGGGGCCCGAGGGGATGGCTGGGGGGCCGGAGGAGGCCAGGGGGTAGGGGAGGTTGCACTGCCGTCGGACCTGCCGTCTGAAACCCGTGGATTTGTTAACTTGGGCCAGAGATGTGAGATCCACTATGTAATTGTATCCATGCGGGCCCAAGTCTGCCGTGCCTTGCCGGGCCTGATAGCTGTGCTCCAAGAGGATGGAGGTTCGAGTCTCGTACGGGGTCCATCCTCCTTCGTCGTTGGCCCACTCCCAGTAGACCCCACTGCCGAGGCCTGAGGACTGGGCGAACAGGGAGCGACGTACAGAGCGTGTCTTTCCTGGAAGTAATAAAAAAAAAGATGATTTTCTGTGATTAAACTGAATTAAAGCAACACTGTGCAAGCTTTACATGTAAAAAATAAAACCAGGTTTCATCCTAAATCCCAAAGTGGGGTCATAACTAACAATAACTTTATATGTAGATGTCAGAAATGCTCATGCCCATGATCCTTAATGGCAGCCAGTGAAATGATTTGGATAATGCTGTTTTTATGGTTTATATAAGGTATATAAGGCATCTCCTAACATTGTGGCTGCTCGTTACTTTACAACCTCTGTAGCTTCATTCAAACTACTCGAGCACGAATCAGCTGAGCTCGAAAAAGGAGCCAAACAATGTGCTAATGTTAGCAGCAGTGTGGCGAGTGAAAGGTCAGATGACAGATAAATATTTAACAGAGTCGTAAAAATCGCAGAACTTTATCCTGGGTGACTTACTCGGCTTGTAGCTACGTGAACCAAAACAACAGCGCCCCGTAAAAAGCCAAGCTAAGCAGCTAGCGTTATGTGTTAGCCCGGCCCTGATAAACTGTGTAACACCGAGGCACAACATTAAAAAAAAAAAACAAATGGATTACGAATGCATAAATTACTGCGGCGGGTATTATTTTAATGCCACGCCATCCTCACCTGTGTCCTGGCGAAACTGCTTCAGGCTCGGTATGTCAATGAGATAAGGCGACAGGCTGGGGTCTGACTGTCCGAGGCAGATGCTCGTTGAGCCGGGTCCTCCTCCTCTCTGTCCCCGCGGCGCCAGACACCGCTCGATGTGGGCGCTCACCTGGCCGCTGTAAGGCCGCCAGTACCCCAGGTCGTCCTGCCATTCCCACACCGCAATCATGGGCTGAGATTGTCCCACGGATCCAGAAGGCGTAGCTGACACGGACGGCCCGTTCCTGGAGCCGTTCACCCGAGCACAGGAGCCAGACACAATCGCCATATTCAACCAGCTTGAGCTAACAACAGCTCGGGCAAATGATTGTAAGCTACGACGAAAGGAGAGCAAAAAAAAAAAAAAAAAA